CTTACAAAATAAAATGAAGATATAGTTAAAGAAGAGAACATATTTCTAACTGCGCATTCATTTTTTAAAAGCCTTTCAGTCACTTGATACATGTAATAGAAGCAGATCCAACAGAGACAGGGGTGATGTTTAAACTGAGCTGTGAAGTTTCTACATAGCTCTGGGTGGGAGAGATATGAGGGGTTCAGATTCCTAGGCATGATGTCCCTGACTGTTTTTACTTCATTTACTCTCAGAGAAGTCCTGAGGAAACTGATTCTTAAAAAAAATGGGTGTTTGCTCCATCTAAAAGCTAAATCCCTTTAAACTGGGTAAGCTTTAACACTCAGAATCAGTCATCTAGAAAAAAAAGCCATCATACAAAATGTATGTACAAGATACAGAATGCTCTGGAAAAGGTATGAACTATTTTAGTTCTGAACCGAGCATAGACCTGAAGTTGAACATAACCCTTATCTGCAGTTCCAGATCAGTCCAATTCTATTTTCAATTTATTTATCTGTTTGAGTATTGAGACAGTGCTTCACGGTGGCATCATCATTCTCACCTGATAGGGCATCCTCCAGAACAATCACCAAAACACGAGCTGCAGATTATTCCTGGGGACAGCACTAGACTGTTTTAAGATGCTCACTACATAGCACTAAGGTACTCGTAAGTCCAAAACCAGTTACTAGGTGCAATTGCTACAGGTGTTTTGTCTAGAAGAGGAGAGAAGTGAATTCAAGTCCTTGTTTAACGAACAAATTGTTTTATTAAAGTCCGGGGTTCTTGAGGAAAAGAGTGGGCATTACTGTAGTAGCTCTGTAGGCAAGAGTTGCATTAAATGCTTGGAAAACTGGCAGGGCTTCGGTGTGACTTAAGTACCTACATTGTAGCAAGATGAGGACACGGCTGCTCCCAGGCATGCCCAAAGAACTGACCTCATGTAGCTTGTAAGTGTAGACACCTGCTGACCCTCAATACCTCCAGGGACAGGGAAGCATCTAAACAGAGATTATGTTTACTTCTTCATTTCTTTAAAAATCAGTGTCTCTTGTGCCTCACTTCTCATTTAATAAAACTTTGGATAATAATTAATATTTCTTTTATAGTGACAAAAACAAACCCAACCATGTTAAAAAGAAACTGTGAACATAATGATCAGAGCAGCTAAAAAATATCTGGATTTCTGTGCTAAAATTATTTTGGACATTTTATTCTTATCTTAGGGAATTTGACATACATGACAAGAATTTTTTTTAACTCAAATATTTAGAAGCTTTTATTTATTTCCAGATTGTATATATCCCACCTATCCTACACATACCACGATTTAGTGAGTTAAGTTGTATGACATCAATATTGATATAATACTGATATTTTTATTATTGTAAAGTTTATGAAATCCATTGAAAAAATATTGAAACTCATGTCATGCAAATTCTATGCTAGAAAACCACACCACTCAAACAGTTACCCAAACCAAACACAAAAAAAAATGGACAAGATCAAAGGAACTTACTCAAACACTTAAAAGATTATTGGAAGTACTTGTGGGGTTTTGTTTTTTCCCACTTTATCCTCTATTATTTGTATCTTGCATTTAGCAAAGCTGGTGGATAAAGGCAAAGTAAGAGGACAGAATTAAATCTCTGTCCTCAAAAAGCTGAATATACAGATGAGGATTTTACTTAAGCAAAGCACAAATATTTATTTCTACTCCGACACAAAGCTGCATAAAAGGTGACATCATCTTTTGTTACTCAAGAAAGCACTCCTGTATTTCATTTTAGTCTCTCCTCACAACTGGAATAACTATTCTTCTTTTAATATGGTTAAGATATATTTCAGGTGATTGCTTTTCTCGGCAGAATTCTGTATGCTGAAACATATTTGGGACTGTTTTTTTCCCCCTTGGCCATGCTCTGCTCTATCTCTATGTTTGAGTAGAGGCTGAATTTTGCTTTACTTTCACTGTAGATGGTTCATGCTGATCTTTTGCTCCCAAGGGAGTTTTCCCATTGGTCAAACAACAGCTTTCGAGGAAGGAGACTCCAAACCAGGCCCTGGACATGGTAAGATTTGTGGCCCCTGTGTCTGGGGATAATATTTCATCATTCTTTGCACTGTGTTTTGTTTTACTTTTTGACCATACTGCAGTTTCAGCCCCTCAGGAGACACTCTGCAGAATCTGTTGCTTAGTAATAGTAACCTTCATGGAAATTAGCTTGAACTTCAAAAGAACAAAACATCTTTCATTAGTCACAGGTTTTCAGATAATGAATTCCTCTGAGAAAGTTTATTAGAAAAGCAAGCTTTCCAGAATCAAGTGCCTCCAATGTTGACCCAAGATGAATGGCCCTCTTGAAAGGGCCATTTCTTTGTGCCCCTTAAATTATGTTTGAGATTGTTTCTATCAATGGTTAGGCTCACCTTGACAGTGGCACTAATGAAGTGAAGTTTTATGTAAGTGGAATCAGCCTCTCAAACAGAATAAAGCCAGAAAAAATTACCGCAGTCATATAGTCTGGCCTCCTGCGTAATACAAAACATATGAATTAATTATTGTGCTAACAAAAGCACCTCTTAAAAAAATTATCTCAAATATAAAATGCTTTTAGAAATTTTCTTTTTCCTTGAATACCTGCTTTAGTTAAAAGTACTCCTGTTGTGTGATAAAGAGGAGGCGATAAGGACCAGAGGGGCACCAGAATTGCTGTAGATTCCTATTGGGAGGGTCAGAGGCAAAGACCTGCATCTGCTGCCCTGCGAGTGGAGAAAGCCAGCCGCTGCTGTGGGCTGTCTCAGGTCATCCAGGCAACAGAAAAGCAGCTGCTCAGTAGAAATGCTTAACAGGACTGAGACCTTCCTGCTAAAGTTCTGGCTTCCATCCCCCACTGCACCTACCCGAAATCCTACATTTCCATTTCATGTGGAGAAAGGCAAGGATCCAACTACAAATAACTCATCTCCTTTAAAACACAGTCACACGGAGAAGGACTACTCTCTCAGCATAAAGGCTAGCATGTGCTGCTAAGGAGGCAAAGGGAGGTCTGATTGCCTCTCCCACCACTTACCTAGGAGACACAGCACATTGCAAGAAGCAGTAAAAGCTTTGTGGAGACAGAATGCACGGCACAGGAATGAATGAGATACTGGTGTCTGGAGACCAGGACACATAAAGCCTCAGCTTCCACCTACATTTATAAGATTGCGACTGCATTTCACATCAGGTAATCCCTGAAGAAAAACTGAAATCAGCTGGGCAGTTTGGGCTGTCTTCAAGCATTCTGACTTGCCCAAATTAGTAGGCAGCAAAGTCAGGCCCCCTCAAGCGTGTTCCTAGGCTTCCTTCTTACTTTAAATTTAGTCTTATAAATTTTGCATTGCTCCCTCTATCTAGTCTAACAAAACAGATAGGAGAGCAGCTCAGCCTTGATGCCTTCTGCATTTCTAAATTTGACATAACAGAAATGGAATAATTACCAGAACTTAAAAATCATGCCAGAAGGCCAGGTGATTTTAGAACAGACTCTATAAAGTCTTTTCTACACTGGAACATGAAAAATCAAAGACCAAGTAATTAAAGGTACAAGGGCAATACGTTCTAGTTCAACAATGCCAAATCTCAGTGTAAGTTTTCTCACATAGAGGCAAAGTGCTCTAATTCCTTCAGACAATTTGGAGACCAAACTGAGCCCAACATAATTTTGCAGGAGAAAATCCACACCATGGTTAAAAGTGCAAGAATTTCACACCTCATCTACAAAGAAGCACTGAAGGAAGTGAATCAAGTTTTAAGATGCACAATCTTCTGTCCAGCAGTTATCATCAGAAATCAAAAAAAGTGTCTAGGGCTTTTTTGGGCTAGTTCTCTCACTCCTTTCAGAAGGTAACCTGCCAGAAGAGCTCCTAAAAACCTGAAAACATTCCTGCTCATGTTGGTGAACAGGCTTAATTTTATTTCAGGTCTACCACAGAGATTTGGATTGCAGTAATCTATTTAAGGCAGAGCACCAATTATACAGGGAGTATGTCTCATTATTGCTGTGTTCTGTGCCCACACACCAGCAAAGATGGTTATCTAGACAGGATAATAATATAAACCAGGAACATGCTCTTCTTTGGTATTTATGAATACTATGTTACTTATCAGCAGTACTGTTAGTGATTCGGTATCAAGCTGCATTCACTGTAGGTAGAACACAACCCAACAGTTTGTGCATAAATATCCATAAATAAATTTTAAAAACTCTCTCTGTAAGGGGCACTTAAGAAATCCCATTACAACTCACATTTTCGTCCACCCTACAGTGCAGTCACTGACTTAAGGCTGTTTTCCCCCTCATATCTGAGCAGAGTTGTGGTTGTCTCCATGAATGCCATTTTTCTTTGAGAGTAAGCTATAGGACCTTTTGTTATGGTGGAGGGTCACTAGCAGATCCTGTGCCCAGAGCCACAGAGACAGAGAAACAAGTCAGCTAAGGGATTCTTATTCAGTCATGAATTGGCTATAGCGAGATGTAGCTTGGGCTCCAAAAGATGAGTGTGGAATAAAACCTGTAATGCTACTGGGGATAAAAAAAGAATCCTGCACTGGCAGGATTGCTATATATTGCACATATATTTGCACTAGAGGCAAATATATGTGCTCCTGTTCAGTCCAACCTGAACTCAAGGCAGGAGAGAGTGGAGAGGTGAGAGGTTTGCTGGCTGCACAGCTTCTCCAGGCACCTCCACCTCCTCCTGCCGCCACTGTACCTGTTGCAACACAGCAGTGCAGAAGGTGTTACCTCAGGGAGGTCGGGGGACCAGAAGAGGACAAGAGAGAAAAAAGTGGTTGTTGCAGAGGTACAGTTCTCACCATCAGGCATGTGGGCAGCTGAGAAAGGCCATTTCCAAGCAACCAGAAATACCCATTCCCTCTCAGGAATTCTTTAGTGACATGTCTTTGACTTTAGCATTTAGAGAAATTGCTCCAGCAGAATTTCTGTTAAATCATTAGCAAGCTGAAAGATTTCCCCAAAACAGCCAAGAGCCTGAACATTTTTCACTCTACTAATATGGAGAATAATCTGTCACATACAAACATGCAACACTTGAATCATAAAGGTCATTATCTTGTGTTGATATGAATCATGCCATGCAGTACCGCTGCCTGGTTTATTTATTGTAGAATAAGATGATCTTAATTACTCAGTCCAAACTAAAAGGTAGTACACCCAGTTCAGGTAGTATTTTAGGAAAATTATATTCTTTTTAGGTATTCTCTCTCTTGCTGGATACTATTTCAGTTGGTTTAGGTACTACTTTCAATTGTTTTGACATGTCTCTACCCCCGTGCCTTAGAAAAGAGCACTCTAAATGCTTTACATGAGAAACATTTTGGCTTAAACAAAACCACTTAAATCAGGCAATCTTTGCTATTTAATATACAAATAAAATAAATTGTTTGAGACTACGAAGTTGGGCATTAAATCCAAGAAACCTGTGAATGTACAAACATAGAGTCAATTCTGAAGATTTTTGCTACCTTTTTGGAGAATGTTTATTTTCTCTCTTTTTTTTGTTTATTTTCTCAAGTGTTTTCACAGGTGTAATATGCACAGAAAAGACAATGCCATTTGTTTTAAAACAGTAATTCAAGGTTTCTCCACATCAGAAAAGGACTACTTCTCAAAAAAATCCAAAAAGATCAAGCCAGTTCATAGTGGCTCCTGGAAAATTGGACTTAAGATATTCCTCACCATTCTAACCACAACAAACTTGTGCTCTGAATTTTTAGTTTTCACACAAAAATAAATTAAAATGTCTTTCAAGGAGGGCATTGTTGACTGATTTGAGAATTAGAAATCTCAAAAGGTCACAGAAAAATCATTGAAATCTTACCGTTTTTTATGCATATGCTCGAAATAAAATATGAAAGCATTAAGCATACAAGTGAAAAAAAATAGTAACAGAAAGCAATAAGAGGCAAAACAATGTTCTCTATATACAGAAATATTTTACACGAATAACACGAAATGACAAAAATACACAACTTTGAGTACAAAAGAATCATTTCATCAATAGATTTATACAATTGAGAACTCTGTAAGCAGCATGCTTTGACAGAATGAATTAAACTGCAACATAATTCAAAATACATTCATTTAAATCCTCCATACTAAAGATGTCTGAAAATGTAACATGAGGGAATACAGATTAGCAGTGACTCATTTCTGGAGAGGAAGAAAATTATAATTCCCACATAGAGTCAACAAGGATCTATTCGAGTTTTTAAAATCCTTGGTCTTGGTCAAGCCCATTAAAATGCCTCAATAGCCCAAATTCTGCCAATATGTTTATGTTTTGACATTACAAATGTTAGCATGGTTATGCAGGATCCTTGGCAGGATCACAGGCAGCAAGACTGAGCAGTTTAGAGGTCTTCAACTTGGTTCTAGGACTTCAGCTGCAATTATCAAGGCACTGCTCTACAGATGTATATTAGACACAATAGCTCAAATAGACCTGTAAACACATAATTACCCTGGGGATACTTCTAAACCACCTTGATTCTTGAACACCCTTTTGTTCACGTGTGCTCTGATCACCTCAGAAAACCTAGTGTGAATACTATTATGGCGAGCAATTTGGGTTTCTTTTCTCTAAGGATCAGCAGATGCAGCTCTGAGAAGAAACCTTGTTACAGTCAGTGTAAGCAAACACTTAATTATGAAAACAAATTAACTGTCTTTGATGTTTGCAATTTCCACTTCACAGCCAGTACTTATCGTAAATTGAGAAATTCCCACAAAATGTTTTCCCCTCCTCCTTCAAGAAAGTAATTTCACTAACTTTCCTGTATTACTCATCTTCTCTTCTTGAATTATTATGTTTTACGACACTCATTCAAATCTCTAACATTGTAGTGCTGGAAGACAGCAAAAATACCTGTTCCTGCCATTTAGACAGTGTATGCTCTCTATTACTTTAAGCACAGTTTTGCTGCTTTCAGAGATAAACAGGCATGACAGCTCTGAAATGGAAAATCCATACTAACCAGGTCATAAACTTCTGCTATCAATGTAAATGTAATTGAAAAATAAAAGCTTTACTGCAAAGACACACTAAAACACTCTCTTTTATAGTGGAAGTCTTTTACTGTCTGTCATTTCGATCAGAAAAATCCATACCATCATCAGTGAAGTTGACAAGGAAAAGAAAACAACAGACATCAATAACCTCGCCACTGCTGGGCAACACGTAACTTTACATGTAACCCACAACCTCACAACCTCAGCTAGCAGCTTTTTTCAAAAAATGAAATTACTAAATTCAAAATTGTTCCTTTTTACTCCTAAAATTTAAATACTGCCAACACTTTTACCAATAGCTGTCAATGAGAAGAACAGAGATAACTTAAATTAGTTCTTCATTGAAGAAGAATTCACATTGGGGTGTGAATGTTTTGTTATCCTCAGGAAGCAAGCAGTCCCTGGACATCCACACAGAACAAGGTATTTTCTTCATGCAAACATGTACTGGGTAGATAGACAGAAGTAGAAAGAGAGATGGAGCAAGAGAAGCCCAAATTCTAGCTCTGGTTTGTTAGGTTTGTTGTACATCAATGCCCCTGTTCTCAGCCATGGGCTCAAAAAGCTCACTGCAAGGACACACAGATTTTACAGGCATTTTTCCCCAGCCTCAGAGCAAAAAGCTCTGAACTTCAAAGCCCAAACCTTAATCTTAATTTTACTTATCTCACAATATTTATTTAGCTGATTAAAAAAAATAATCTGAGTCTGGTTTGCCCTCATTAAGGAAAATCTTTGCCATTCTGCTTTCCAGGCAGGTATTAAGACAGCCTGACATTAATCAGAAAGGTAGTCTGGCATTTCAGGGAGAGAAGCTGATGCCTAATAGATGAGAACAGCAGAATAAACCCTTGAGGCAGCAGCCACTACAGAGACAAAGAGGCAATGGAAAAAAATCAATGTAAAGTAGTATCAGAGGGAAAGGGGGAATTTAACTTACATCCCCAGCAAATTCTGCTGGCTGACTGTTATAAGGGGTAATGGCAGAAAGAGGGTAGATTTAGATAAGATACAGGAATAACTTCTTCCCTGTGAGGGAGGTGAGGCACTGGAACAGGTTGCCCAAAGAAGCTGTGGATGCTCCATCCCTGGAAGTGTTCAAAGCCAGGAAGGATGGGGTTTTGAGCAAGCTGATTAGTGGAAGGCGTCCATACTCATGGCAGTGGAGTTGGAGCTAGATGATCTTTATGATCCCTTCAAAACCAAGCCATTCTATGATTCTGTGATTGTCTGTTTATGGTTTTGGTCCAATACTTAAATTGTAAAACAAGCAAGTTGAGGATTTTTTCTTCCCCTGTAATTACTGTGTAGACTAAATCCTAACCTCAGCTATGGGTTATTTGCCATCTCTTTTCTGGTTTACCCTACTATTTCTAATTCTATCCCAACAAATGCCCAACAGCATGATTTCAATAGTGTAGAGCATACCCAGCCTTATATGAGCTCTGAGCAGAAACATCACTACGAAAACACAGTATAAACTGCAGGCCCAAAAATCACTATTTCAGATAGGTTTTCAGGCATATCATCAGGTTTGAGTAGCTTGTAACAACCTCAAGTAATAACTACAGTCACCCTGTACCTCATAATAATTTTCACATGAACACTATTTTTTTAAATCTTGTGTTAGCCTAAAGCTCGGGTCATGGAATTTTTGTTGCTCTCTTTCCCTTCCATTCCTCCGTTTTCTCCTTCTAACTCCTCTGATAACTGAGCAGTTAGTTACTTTTGACCAATTGTTAAAAAAACAGCAAATTTATGACTGTACATGTAGCTATACCAACATAAATTGCCCTCCTACAACTTACACGGTTCTTTCATTGAAATTCACCAACATAACAAATTATAACAGCAATAATAATACACCTTCAATACAGAATAAAATATTCCAATGAACAAATTATATAGTAAATTTTGTAAAGTGCACAAAAATATTAATGGAAATATTAAAAAAAAGTTTTCTAATGTTATAATGAAAACTTCTGAAATGTTGTTAAATTAAATAGAAGTAATCTAATGAGACTTTTTGGATCTATTATATCGGCAGACAGCAGCAACATTTTTCAGAAAAATTACATCAACTAAATACACCATATCTTAGCAGCATAAGAAGTCCCTACAATTAGATTGCAGGCCTAGTAAGCATAAACCTGACAAAATGTTACAAATGCAGTTTTCATTTAAAAGAATGGATTTCCATGGAATCCCAGAGGTAACATTTGTTATTTTGTTTACATTGTATTCTGGTAGTAAACCTAACTATAACCAATCACTTTCCCTCCCTCTATCTTCCCAAAATTGCACAGAGTAGTGGAAAACTAAATCAAGTTATAAGATATGGCCATACTGAAAAAGCCATATGAAACAAAACAAAATTCGACCTAAAGCCAGAAAACAATCCCAAAATACAACAATCATTGTCAAAGAGCCACAGTTTCAAACCACCGACCGGTGCTCCCCACACACATAGATGGCACTGGGTCGAATGCGCCGCCTTGTATGGCCAGGTAGCTGTGGCAGAAACTTGAAGAATTTGGGCATCAAGTCTAAGCATGCGTCATGAAACTTCTTAATCCTCCAGTAGTAAATCAGTGGGTTCAGTGCAGACTTGAGGTAGCAGAGCCAAAGGAGCCAAGTGCTTATCTCAAAAAAGTTGTGCTTGTAGTAGAAGTGGCTGTTGAACGTGGCAATAAGGCTGTAAGTGGTGAATGGTGCCCAACAGACTATGAAGACAAGGAATAAAATCAAGATGGTTGTGAAGGCACGAGTTTTAAAGCTCATATCAATATTCATCTGAAAAGGTCTCTGTAAGCTCATGAGACCAAGTTTGCTGGCCTGGCTGAGACATATGCTATCAGGGTGGCTATGGATACGAACTGCATTGTGGCGGACGGTGTTGAGTATGCCCATAAAAGAATACAGCATTACCAGGAAGGGAATAAAAAAAGAAATTAGCAAGATAACTATCACATAGGCTCGGTAACCTGGGCTTGTAGAGTAGCCAAAAACACACTGAGGTGCTCTTGAGGGTATCTGCAGGTTAGGATTCCCTACAGATAATGGAAAAGCAACAACAAAGGATGCCGCCCAGGAAATCACAATGAGAATCTTTGCACGGTAAGGGTTCAGTTTATCTTGCCTCTGAACTATGATGAGAAATCGGTCAATACTAATAATGAGAAGAATGGCTACCCCCTCTATGACAAAAAGCCAAAAGAACATGGCAGAAACTCTGCAAAATATATCCCCAAAAATCCACTGAGTGGTAATGATTGTTATAAGAGCAAATGGCATATTCAGCACTGCCAGCAGCAGGTCTGCAAAAGCCAGGCTTGCTAAGAGGATGTTAATTGCAGATCGCATAGCTGCCTTCTGGTAGACCATGAGGCAGACAACAAAGTTTCCAAGGAAAGAAACCAATAGGATAAATATCATAGCAGCAGAAAGAATGATCTGGAGTGGCAAACTCAAGCTCCTGAAAACTTCTTGCGATGGCAGGATAGCTGTAGTGTTTACCAGGAAAGTACTTCTCTCAGTGGTGAGCACAACACCTGAACTATATCTCAATGGCTGTGTTGTGCCACTATGAAGCAAGAACTGGGGAGTGGTAAAATTCGTATAGGCATTTTCATAGACAATAAAAGTAGCATTTGAGGTCCCAGAGTGGGCCAGTGTCAACATTGCTGAGAAAACCATTGCTTCAGGAGAAATGAAAACAGAAACAAAAGTCTTCAAGGCCTTTCATCTTGTTCAGGCAGTATTTTTAACTGATCCTTTAACAATCAAAGTTCAATGTCTGAAAGCATCAAAGTTCTTAAGTTCATGTCAGTATTTCCATCTGAAAAATAAGAAAGAAACGTAAAGAAACAAAGTAAAACTCTGAAACCAATGGGAACCAAATGATTGTTCACCTTTCCTTAATGATAAAAGCACCTTTAATATATGTTTACACTTCAGGTTGACACAATTCACTTAAGCACCAGCCACAGAAGTCTCTTAATATTTGGCCTTTCTCTCCTGCTCCTGTAGTGCTGCTGACACCACACAATACTCGCAACTCACCAAGTTTTTTTTCCTACCATAACCAAGGCTGGAAACAAACTTTACTGTTTGAAAACAAACTTTACTGATTAAGAGTGAATAAATCAAGTAAGTATCGTTACTTAAATCTCATAATTTTTAAACTAACTTCACTATTTTGGTTTGGAATTGCCTACAGATGGAAACTTTAATGACATTTTTAAATAGCTTAAATAGTCTCAGTATCGCCTATCTGCCTCTTTGGTAAGCACTAAAAAGCCTACCTATCCAAGTTACTGTACATAATACAGAATTGTTGGTTCTGTGTCAGTCATCCACATTAGATGTCTCAGGAAAAACATGCAAAAGATTCTAACCTATTACTAATTATCAAGTAACTTATCCACAGGATAAAAGTATTTCTCAATTTGTTGCATTTAGAGACTGACTCATATCAAGATGCAGGAAACTCTCTCTTCTTTGCTCACTACAACTCTTCCCATGGCAGCAAGTTTTCCTGCTTTTGCTAGTCTAGGCATGTCTTTGTTAATTCAGCTTGGTATCCCAAATAATTTAACTGTGTACACCCTCCTCTTTCCTGTAGATCTAATCCTTAGACTGCTCAACTCTCTCCCTTGCCATTATACAGTCATGGAAGGGTTTGGGCTGGAAGGGACTGTAAAGGTCATACAGTTCCCACCCCACTGCCACCTTTCACTAGGTTTCACACCAGGCTGCTCAGAGCCCTGTCCAACATGGCCTTAAACACTGCTAAGGATGGGGCATCCACAACTTCTCTGGGCAACATGTTCCAGTGCCTCACCACCCTCACAGCAAAGAATTTCTTCCTAGTATCTAGCCTAATTCTCCCTCACTTCATCTCAAGGCCACTGCCCCTTGTCCTATCACTACATATCCTTGGAAAAAATCCCTCTCCAGCCTTCTCACAGGCCCCTTTTAGGTACTGACACAATGCAATGTTTCTTTTTATAGTTTACATGTGCTGCCTCATATTTACTACCTTTACGTGTATTGTATTAGTATTGTATTATTACATGTACTTACATGTACACATTCTCATAAATAAAATACAAAGATTTGAGAGTTCTCTCCCCTTTTCAGTGCTAGCTCCTCCCCTCTATCTTGGACTATTAAAGACTCTCAGAGCACACTGGCATCTGATCAAGCTGGAAACCAGATGGATTCCATGCCCTTTTAAAAAACAGATCACTACAGACAGAAACAGAAAGTGGGATTCACCTCATTCATTCGGGATGACTGCAACAGTCCCTTCTGGCTGTTTTCATGTTTATAATCAGAAAAGGGATAGAGCCATCTTCAGAGGGCATCTCCTCCATCTCTGCACGCAGTGACAAGCTTGCGCTGCTAACACAAACAGCTTATGTTTGGTAGCACAAATCCTGCCCGCGGTATTTAAGCAGGTTCTGCTTGGTATCAACGTTGGGCAAAAGTGATGGGAGGAAGGAATTTTTTTATGAATTTACACAAGAACCACATGCTTCGTGTTGGATCAAAAGTTTACCTTTCACTGGATAATACTTCACTGGCAAAAAAAAATAATGGTTAGCTTAATTTATTAACAATTAAATCAGAGTAGAGTAATGAGAAAATAAAACTAAGTCTTAAAAACACCTTCACCCCACTCCTCCCTTCTTCCTGGGCTTAACATTGTGCCTAATTTTCTCTATCTCCTCCCCACCAGCAACACAGAGAGACAGGGAATAGGGCTTGCAGTCAGTTCATCACATGTTTACTCTGCTGCTCCTTCCTCCACAAGGGGAAGACTCCTCACATTCTTCCCCTGCCCCAGTATAGGGTCCCTCCCATGGGAGACAGTCCTCCATGGACTTCTCCAACACGAGTCCTTCCTACAGGCAGCAGTTTTACTTTGAACCACTCCAGCATGGGTCCCTTCCACAGGGTGCAGTCCTTCAGGAACAGGCTGCTCCAGCATGGGTCACCCCCAGGGTCACAAGTCCTGCCAGCAAACCTCCTCCAGCATAGGCTCCTCCCTCCAAAGGGTCACAGGTCCTTCCAGGAGCCTGCTCTAGGCTTCCCATGGGGTCACAGCCTCCACCTTCGCTGGCCCGCGGTCCTCCTGGGGCTGAAGGTGGAAATCTGCTCCACTGTGGACCTCCATGGGCTGCAGGGGCACAGCTGCCTCACCATGGTCTTCATCACGGGCTGCAGGGGAATCTCTGCTCTGGTGCCTGGGGTACATCCTCCCTTCTGCAGAGCTCTCTCACATATTCTCACTCCTCTCTCCAGCTGTAATTTGCTTCTGCACAGTAACTTTTTCTTCATTCTTAAATCTGTTACCCCAGAGGCACTTCCACCACCACTGATGGGCTTGGCCTTAGCCACTGGTGGGTCCATCTTGGCACCAACTGACATTGGTTCTACTGGTCATAGAGGAAGCTTCTCACAGAAGCCAACCCTGTAGCCCCACTGCTACCAAAAGCTTGTCACACAAACCCAATAGAGAGTCATACAAATTCCACTTCCTAGAGGTTTGACTGCTTGAATGGAAGGGAATGACATAATTTTCTATTTTATCCTATTATATTTCAAAGACTGTAAAAGTCAGCAAAAGTATACTAGCTATGTATATTGACATTTTTGCAAAAATGAAAAATTCCATTAACTTTATTCTAGATTTTTTTCCCCCATTATTTCTCTTTAATTTTATTTTTACACTAACTCTTTTAGAGAAAGCCTCAATGCTAATTACAAGCTAAAGCATCTATATTAGCCAAAATTATTCTTTCTTTGGTCTTTATAAACTTTTCCTTTACTAGTCTTCTTTAATATATTTTTTAGAATAAATTATGGAACCAACCGTGAAAAGGTTAACAGAACTTTCCAGAATAAGTAAGAAATATTTTAGCAATGAACAAGAAAATCTCACCCAAAGTTCCACTGAGGTTTATGACTCCACAAGACAAGAACACTGAAGAGGAAAGGAAGCTGTAGCATTCTGCAGGGACTGCAAAAGAGAATAAATTCAACAAATCATTTTGGATTTAAAATCTTGGAGCAAGAAAATTAGATCCCCTGGGCAGTATCTTTTAAAGCTCTGTAAGCAATAAGCCAGCAAAGGTAACTTTTGCATTTCTGATTGGCTTTGACAAAGTCTCTCCAACAGGGCTCTAAAAGAAACTAATCTGCCATTAGATACATGTAAAACCCTCCTATAGACAATAATCAGTTTCAAACAGGAAACAAAAGAAGGAGCAGTTAGTTTTGCAGAGAAAAAAGGTCACCAGAATGATCCTACAAAGAAAATCTATACTAGAGTCCAAGCTCATCAACCTGCAGAAGAGAAGAGGGAAATGCAAAACTATGACATTTGCTGATGATGAACATGAACTGTTTTTCAGGGCAATGTAATAAAAACTAAGATCAACTATAAAAAGGTATAGAGGATCTCTTGAGGAGTAGTGGCAAGCTACCAGTCTGCCCAATAAAATTCAGTGCTAGAGATAAAGCTATGCCTGGACTGAAAAAAAGCTATCTGCACAGTAACAGGTGCTAAACCAATAATTACCACCCAGAAGAAAAACAGATCTTCAAATTTTCATAGTCTGGCCTATGAAAACATGAGCCAAGTGCTCAGAATTGTTAGCAAAGACACTGAGAAGAAAACCAGGAGGTAGCTATATACATTGTGTATTCAGATATGGTATCTGCTACAGTACATATCCATGGCACCTTCTTATCTTCAGTACTATGTTCAATTCTGCACCACCCGATCTCTATTCAAAGGTGACTAGAAAAAGGTATCATAGAGGTCTACAGAATTATTAGTGGTACAGGGAAAGTGAATGATTGCTGTCTTTCATAACATAAGAATACGAAAAGTCAAAGGAATCACAAAAACACAGACTAGTTGAGGTTGGAAGGTACCTCTGGCGGTCATCTTGTCCAACCTCTCTACTCAAGCAGGACCACCTAGAGTCAGTCGTCCAGGACCATGTCTAGGTGGCTTTTGAGTATCTCAAAGGATAGACTCCACAACCTCTCTGGGGGATCTGTTCCAGTGCTCACTCACTCTGAGAGTGGAAAAAAAATTGCTTCCTGATGTTTCAGCTTCTGCCCATTGCCTCTGGTCCTGTCACCAGGCATGACTGAAAAGAGCCTGGCACTGTCCTCAATACATATACACACAGTGATAAGATCCCCCTGAGCCTTCTCTGCTCCAGGCTGAACAGTCCCAGCTCTCTCAGCCTTTCCTCACAGAAGGGATGCTCAAGTCTCTTCATCATCTTTGTAGCCCTTCACTCTATTCTCTCCAGTATGTCCGTGTCTCTGAGGAGCCCAGATCTGGAAATTATTATTTCACAATTAATTGTGAAAACATTTGCCACAGGATGTTGTGGATGCCATAGAGCTTCTGTGGATTAAGAAGGCAATTTAGGACATATTTCACATGATCTTTATATAGATGTCCATGTCAGGAAGAAGTGAATCACCCATCTCCCTCTGCTGACTGCAAAGGGTACATGGCCATCTGATTTGAATACAGACTTTTGAGCACATACATATGCAGTTACTGGACTAACTTTAAATATACACAACAGAATTTGCTTACTTAGGTTAAGTTTACATCCTTTATGCCACATAACTTTATACTCTGAAGTATGATGTTCAGCAGAGGCTTAGATGGTAACATGTATCATAAAAGCTTTAAAGAGGAAAAAAAATCAAACAAAAACCAACCAAACAATTCTAATATTCCACAGTAAAGGACCAAAGTTTTAGAAAATACTGCCTTATCATAAATTTTCCTTCTAAACAGAAGGAACCAGACAAGGAGAGCGGGAGCAAAGATGTTCTGCACCCTTAATTCAGTCAGAAAGATTGCGCTACTCCACATTTCTCAAGACAAGTAGCATCCAGATTATAGGACAAAGGACTCACAGACATCTATAGCCTATTCCTAACAAACCCAGGAAAAGTGTCTAAGAAAAGTAATCTCACATATGCTCTCTCACCATCCCAGCTCACTGTGCAAATAGCTACCTCCTATTTTGTGCTTCCTCCCCTCAGTGTGATGCTTGTATATTTTCCTGTGTGGTGTTAACAGGAGGAGAATCACCTCATGCAAGCTGGTGCCTGGACCAGCCAACTGCTTAAAGTGGAAATGAGTGGAGGCCATTTGGCTGTTGCATAAGTCATCAGCCGTATCTTTTCAAGGACGAAAGAGTGAGCACTGATCAACTCTTGCAAAGAAGACACCTAACCTAGTAAGAGGACTGCAGGCTTTGGATCCAACATAAAAAGTAACTGTTGAGTGTTGCTCCTGTGCTCACTGCTTCCTGATGATTTCCAGGCAACACTCTTCTCTGTAGTCTGTTTCTCACTCTGAGGTATGAAATCTTTCTGTGCAGTGCATACTGAATCCGCATGTTCAGATGCGATTTGGATTTAATTTATCTAACCTGCAGGCAATGCTCTTTCTCAGCTATCATCCTTCATAAAAGTGACTGACAATTTAGCCAGTAAATTCGAGAGGATCCCTTCTATTGCAGTCATAAGTCCTTTTTTTTTTTTCTCTACTTAAAGGGCTTCTACCATGAGCATCTACATGATTATTAAACGTGTTCCCCCATCCTTCTTCCTACCCTTCCAACTTCCCCAAAATTATGTAAAGATAGAAATATAAGATGAAAGGAACAACTAAGATAACTTCACAGCAATTCTATTTCAGTCCTCATTCGCTCTTTGAGAAAGACAGATCCTGTAATTTCAAAGCCACAGTCATCCCTGAATGGTAATCACATAGCTTGTAAAAGACAACCATGCTTTGATAGTTTAAATGGGTAAGGCTATTGATGGTCAAGTGCTCAAGCAAGAGGCAGATAGATACCTTTTTGTCACAGTATTCTCACTTTTGGAACATGTGCTCTCACAGGTTCTTTTCAGATGCAAAAGAGGTTCATACAATCACTGTTTTCAATTTCAGTGCTAAAATTTACTGTGTATGCACATATTCTCTCAAGCAAGGTTCTCGTTCATATGCAACTTTCTTTTTATGGAACATAATAGACACAATTATTTCAATGAAGTACATACTTAAAGCTAAATAACACACAAATTCCATTCATCAAATATAATTATTGCTAGAACTATGGCATCTGTTTTTAACAGCTTTAGAAGCTAAAAGGTTTCTGTTCAAAATTCGGATAGCATGCTCAACTGGAAATAAAACATTATATCTTATATGCAAAGGCAACATCAGTCAAAATCAGTAACAGGGAACCTAAGAGTGCCATAATAACAGGTTTAATGCAGATCAGAACACAGCTGCCAAAATGTTCAATGATTTGATATATTTGTCTGCTAAAAGCATATTTTCAATACTGACCAGCATCAAGATTTGGTCTAGCACACAAAAACACCATTCTTATTCAGAAACTTGAAGCTAGCAATGCCTGGTACAGTGATCCTATTTCTTGGGGATGTTTTAAGGTTACAAATGGGAAGCCTCTGCATGCTTTATAGCTACTCTTAATGGTTTTATTTTAAAGGCAAACTTTGGCAAAAATTATTTTTGCAACATAAAATCAATTTAAAAAGCAAAGTATTTCTAGGGGAAAAAACAATAACAACAAGCATGAAGGTCATGGGCTTATTTTGTTTTCAAAACAATTTATATGCCAACAGAAAATACTCTAGTATGTGCTCTCTGACACCCCATTATTGCACAAAGCAGCCCAGGACATACACCCCTCTCAATATGAAACAAGCATTGTTTCCTGTGCAATTAAGTAGAGGCAGGAACACATTGCAATGGAATCCTTTCTGCTAAAGCCAGTGCAAAGAATGAGTCAGAGCACAAATCAGCAGGGACAATGTTCTTACCTAAAAGGAACCAGCAGTTTTCAGTTTTAATACATATTTACATATCCTAAATTGAAACTAATCAACTCCACTGCATGAGTAGGTGACCCATAAAACTATTCACAAGAGGCATTACTTTAATTTAGGAAATTGTCCTTTTTTCCACTCTATAAACACTACTGTAGCAATTGTGGGAAAACAGTCACCTCTGCTTTGGGTCATTTAGTACAACTAATTGCCCTCTTGAGGGTATTTCCTTCTGTCCTTAATTCAGAGAGCCATTAACTGTCAAGAAATGTCAGCCATGGGAATCATTATTACTATTGCAAACCACAAATACGCAAAATGTAAAGAATAATCCTATTTTCTTAGCTCTCAGGAAAACTCATGTTCTCAAGTTGTAGATCATGTGAAAGGACTTACACAGTTCTAGGTTCATTTCTTGTACTGTCATATCTCCCCGCCTTCTAACTTTCCCACTAGCTCAATGGCCATATAACTATATTCATGATGAAGAGCTAATTAAATACTGTAGTACCTAGAACAACAGTAAACATTGAAAACATTACTGAAAATATACTATTTTAATTCATAGTCTCCTTCTAGTTATTAAAACACAGCAAACAAATTGGAAGTTTCTTAAATGCTTGGCTTCCTAAATTTTAAGTGGACTATACATACAATCACTATATGTCAGTGTAGCAAAAAAAACCCAAAACAAAACAAAAACCAATGAACAAAACACAAAGCATACCAATCCAGACAGGCTCCCACGAAGAGCAGGAATCATAAGTCATCTTGTGCTGTTGTGTTCAACAAAGTATTCCCTTCCCAAATAACCTGCCAAAAAAATAAAGAAAAGTAAAATGTGACATATTTACTCTCAAGGCAGGACAAGATCAGGATAGCAAAATTTTCCCTGTAAAAAACCTTTATTTTTATTGGGAAAAGTAGAATACACTGTGTCTCCTAACAAAAGACATCATAAGAATCTCATCATTTAATACTAACATTTGCCAGGACTGGAGTAACATGTTGTTTTAGGTCTCATTCAGACACATTTATTTCATTTGTAGACAAGCACACAGCTGTTAGCTGCTGTAAGTCTTATTGGATCTATGAAAATACATGCTTGGCCTTAACTATCAGGGTTCAGATCTCGATATCCCCAAAGACTCTCAAAACAATGACATTTAAATCTATGAGGTACTACTGAGCATCATAGAGATGATGAATAAATTTTGCCCAAATGGCAAAGATATTAGCATAACAGTATCAGAAAAACAAAGAGCAAGAAAACAGGTCTAGAGGGGAAGAATAAGCCATGAAAGTTTCAGTGCAGGATCTCAGCACTTCCTTTATATGCACTTGTACCAATCACCATCACACCTTAGGTAGTTAAAATTATTTCTGTAAACTGGGCCTAACACAGCTAAAAAGTTGCACATTCTATCATGGCATACCTGTTCTTAACTAAGAAAGTCGATTTTCAATGTAGCTTTTACTGATATTCTTAGAAGGAAGCCATAAAATTTCAGTGAGCCTTGAAAGCTGAGTTTATGTCACACTAATAGACTTAGGTGATCTTATTAGTTTATAAATATTATTTATATATATAAAAATCAAGAGAACAAAGATATGGGCCACAGACACTTTCACACACTATTTTTTAAAAGGCTACATAAGTTTTAAATTCTGCCAGAATAAGCTTTAGGAACATCTCTAAGTCACCTCCACACTGGAGCAAAAGATGTCAGGATCCTTCAAGAACAAGTTTCTAAATAAAAGCTGTACACAGAGCTTGAAGGACAAACCAACGAATGAGTTCACATGGCAATAAGAACAAACCGTACTTGAAGACCACCCAGAACGTACTGGCTCCTACAGTCACTCAAGCGCTGAGTTTCTGTATCTGCAGCCAACTTAACACAGACTTTAAACACCCAAAACATAAGGCCTGATTTACCAGATTTATGTCTGCTGAGAAATCTGCCTTCTGCAAAAAAACCACATTATCTAGCCACAATGGAAGTCAGTGTCTGAAAGGTTTTTATGATAAACTATTAATACAAGTTGTTTTCCATTAGCATACAAATTTAATCTTTACATTTATTGTACAGAACAAAGAGGGAAGGAAAAATACAAGTCTCAGATTTAGCTATGTATAAAAGAGATAAAATGTAGCCATTGGATTATTATAGACTTTCACCATTTGGTTTGTTCCCTCTTTAGTGAGATAAGTAATATGAACTGCTAATCTTCCCTCTTTCTGAAGTGTCAAAGAAGTGAACGGGCTTGCAAGCAGGCAGAAAACTGCCAGGAGCCTGGACAGATTAAATACAGCAACAACCTGTAAGATCTTCCCACCGTACAAGCATACTCTCTGACACAAGAGCCATTTCTTTTCTCAAGTGATCATAGAAAGTACCACAGAAAATATTCCCAACTCTCATTAAAATGAAAGTATCTTTAAAATCAGTTTAGAAAAGCATCCAAAACATCACTATAAACTACAAAGTTCTTCCACTTCGAGCCTCCAAGAAGGAAAAAAATAAAAGTACTTTTTCAAAGTAAATCTGGAAAATTTTACTGAATTTGAGTACCTTGCAGAGATTGCTCTTAACTGGGCATGATTGCTTTAGGTAGCTTTCTGTTGGCAATAGGTTAACACTGTTTCATAACAGCATTCCTTTTTTCCCCTCCATTATAAATGATTAGTCAGGCTTTTTTTGTAAGAACAGAGGGGAAAAGCTCTGTAACCCTTCATGAAATTGGAATGTGAGGATTCCTGTTTCTGCAAAGAGCTCTACTTGTGGAATTACAGCCTTGATGATATCAGCATTTAGACCTGGCAGAGCTCCTGAAAGGGTAGTCCTGACCTTTTCCTCATTCATTCACTCATCCCTGAACCCAGCTCCCCACTCCCAAAGCTCAACTAAAATAGACTCTGACAAGCAAATTTAAAAGTTTCACTTTTCTGTCCTGAAGCTGTGAGGTGCTGGGGTACACAGATTAAGGCATAAATTGTAGATTTAGCTTCTACATAGTAAGAGGTATTTTAATTCAAGACAGTGCTGTACCATAAGCAAGAAGGGTGCAAAACTTGTTCTTACTGATGAACATAGAGAAATTTAGATCTTGTTAGATCTATTTCGATTCCCCAAACCAGAAGCTGTCATTTCCAAAGAACTGAAATAGCAGAAGTCACAGGGATCTTAAACACCACTAAATTTAAAAATGTTTCCCACAAGCATTCAGATTATATTATAGACTTAGCGACAGGCTAGAGAAGGCCTTAAAAATATTATGAAATTGCTTTTCAAATGAGTAATAACTTTTGTTACGTACTTTACTGACAGCTCTCTACATCTATTTGCACCTAGTCTATGGTTGTATTTTATCAAGTTTCCCTAACATTTTCTTGGGATATTAAAATAAAATCATGAGCAAAAATGAAGTGAAATAAAGAAAGCTGTCTTTATTCATAACAATAGTCAATCTATCGGAAGATAATAGGCAAGTTAAAAAACCTGCTTCAAGTTAGAAAGCTTTACCAGAGTTGTCCTATGGCTATTCCGGCTTTTCAACTACAGAAACTTCTCCAGTATGCTCTCTCAATGAAAGACTAAACTCTATGAAAACATTTCACCTTCATATAACATAAGGTAAAGAGGCTATCCATAAAGGCTCCTTGTATTACATCATTCTTACTTCCTCTGTAGTGCCCCAGTATACACGACATACACTATTGCACTGCTTTCTGCTAAAAACAGGGAAAGATGAATTTTCTTATTTTTCAGTGGTTTTGACAACAGCTGTTAACACACAGTCTTCTTTTGTAAGCCAGGGCTTACAAAATTTACCTTACAAAAATGGTAACACCATCATCAACAGAATTTTACATCGATGGAATTTAAGCTCTCTCCCATAAAAATGTACCTGTTCCTTGAAACAAGATTATTTTAACAAAAAGGGATGTTAATGGAAAAGTTATTAGAATGACCAAATTTGTACTTTCTTCACACAGTGTGCTGCACACAAGTTCCTGGGATTTTGTTTAGTTCCAGAGCAAAGCAATCAGCCTTGCTTCTACTTTTCCCACAGGGATTCCGCTCATGCTACAGGTAAATCTGTGCCTGCCCAAGAGTCTTGCTGCTGCAATACAGATGTTATGGATCTTACTCCTTGTCACTTGGCTCACAGAGAAGAGGTGCTGGTATAAAGTTAAATGAGGTGACTGTATTTCAGCAACAGGAATACTGCTGATCAGAGCATCCTGTTCTGAGAGTACTAAAAGGCTGCAACCGTAAGATTTAGCTGAGAACTAAACAAATATTTACTTTATATGCATATTTATGTATTTATATTACACACTTTTCTTCTTATACATATACATACACGCGATTCTTTTCAATACTTATTACCATCTCTATTCAGCCAAACACAAACATAAAATGCTCAATGCAACAAAATAACAGTTGTGTTCCTTTGATTTTTTCCCCCCAGAATTAGCCTACACTTTGCTGTTAGTCTAAATGAGTCTGCTAAAAATCAGTACATGTTACAATAGTAACTTATTTTTCATATCATAGAAACAGAGAATAAATAAACTATCTAATTCTTAATAGTTATCCATATAATCTATTTTTTTTAAAAGCTTCAGAATTATTTTTGGCTCATGTCAGCCAACTGGAATAACACTTTCAAGATAGCAACTATTTTGGAGAAACAATTCTAGTTATAAATCTATTCACATTAGATATTAAAAGACAGTTAGATTAAGAGTTCCCATCTGGACAACTCTCAGTGTGAGACAACATATTACAAACATTGTTTTAAGGATTCTGTATCAGGATTCTACTGAAGGTGCCAAAACTTAAAATACAAATATAGTTTTCCTGCCTTTCTCTGGGATTAATTTAAAGTTAAGCATTTTTGTCTAATCTGATTATTTTCTCTCTATTTCAATCAATCCCACTTTCCTTCTTCAGATGTAATAATAGTCAAGCTTCTGGTAGCAGCTGCTTTAAACTCGTAGAGCGGCTGAAAATAAGTTATATAGATTTTTTTCCTATCAAATCACTATTATCTTTTCCATTGACAATCCAGTTGAATTTAACATATATCTACAAAATCTCTCCAACAAAATTCAAAACTGTTTATATATGATTATTTTGTTTACACAAAAAGAGTCACTCTAACAAGACCTGTTCCACATCTGGCTACAGTACAGTTCATTTACATTAGTTCCCTCAAAATATTTTTCATTCAGGTTCAACCAATATTCAACCAATAGCCACAATTAATTTTTCAGAACATTTTCATCTGGCTCACTACCTTCTTGCTACCATCCCTCTCTATGGGCATTTTGCAGCAATAGTTAACGTGATCCACAGCATGTTCTTTATTGCCAGCTCTCTTATGGGTCCTAGAGCTCCTTCCACCACACAACGAACACACTGTTTGTCACAAGATGAGAGAGAGACTTTCAGGAAAGATTCAAGGCATTCTTGGGGAACAAACAGCCACCATGACGAACTTGCTCAATCCCAAAGTCCCTCAGCAAAGGGACAATGAAAAAGTCATCCTTCACATACTATGAAGTTATAGTCTGCTCCTGGCTACTGTTCCAGTGAAAAAACAGTGGCAGATTCTGATCCATATGTATACTGATAGTACTCACATAAATACAGTAACTCCAGTCATTTGACAAACATGAAGGGAAAAGTTATAGTGCACTTAAAGCCATCTCCACAATGACCTCTGTTGGTTACCTGGCTGAAAAGACCAGAAGCAGTTCTCTCAAATGTACTCCAAATAACAGTTTAAACACTGCACAT